AAAGAGTCCGATTTTTTTATATAGAAAATATTTCAATAGTTTTTTACGATTTCCTTCCACTACACACTCTAGACCAGTTTCTGGATCGACTGAACAGATAACGGGAAATAAAGTCACATATTTGTGTAGCTCTAGCATAATTGGAATATGTACAGAAGGTATTTTTGAAAACTTTGATGGTAAAAAGATTACACATAGATCAATCCAACGACGATTAATTCTCTTACAAGTAGTAGTAGATTTCATCTTTCGTTTCCGGTCATTGCCATCGCCAGATTTGACCTTTAAATAATTTTTGAGTAAATTATCTTTGGCATCTGATAAAGGTTTGTTGGTAAGGTCAAGTACGCATAGTGAGACTTTAGTATCGATGTGATAATCATTTCCTTGTGGATATAGGATATGACGTTTTTCCTTGACATCGGATTCTTCTTCTTCCACCTCTTCTTCATTATACGAAAAATATTTGCCAAGACTTACTGATAGTTTTGAGAAAATATTGTCTTTACAATGTTTATCTACACTCTCACCGAGATATGCAACATGAAATGATGAAAGAGAGATCTGTTCACGATTTCCATATACTTGTTGATCTATCCAAGTTTTTCCTTCGTCATGACCTATAAACGATGATGATAACAATCCACTAGAATCTGTCGGTGTTGATGAATGTGTCGAGTATGAGTCGTAGCTTGATAAGTCAGACAAATTATCTTTATATTAAAACAATAAATGACAAACAAATAAATAAACAAATGTAATAAATGAATATATATATATATATATATATATATATATGAAGCCAAAGGGAGTTTCTACTTACTAATTGGCAAGTATTCAGTACTACTATTATTAGGATCTTTGTAATTACCTTGGAAATGATTAATGATTTCATAATTGCTGTCCAATTCTTCTTGTCTTGAGCTAGAAGATTCTGTTTTGTTAGAATTCATTTTGGAGAAATATAAAAGATTGAAATTTTACTGGCAATAATTATTATCAAAAAAATATATATTAATATTAATATATGATTTAATTTGATAATGCAAGTCTTATTATGATCATCAAAATTAAGAAATTTCAGGGATAAAAAAATTCCAACTGGGGTGTACCAGATGACAAAGAATTTTTTACTTTCAAACAACAAACTTTATTTATTAATGCTAATAAAATTGTTGAATTCTAATATATTAATAGAATAGTTATTAATGTGATGACAATAACATATTAATATACATTTTAATAGTTGCTGCAGCGGATTATGATTTTTAAAATTTTTGTTTCACCACCATCACATAAATAAATTCGTGAGATTAGTAATTTTGGCAATACAAATAACAAAATAATAAAACGTATTTTAAATGAAGTTTTCCTATCTATTATTACTATCACTATTATTATTACTATATATATATTATTACTATATATATATATTATTATTATGTGTCACACATGATAGGACTTCGGATGAACTCCGATCTAAAGCTAATCTTGCCTCCACTTTAAGAACTACTTGTGGTAATACATGGTCATCCATCATCTTTAGTGCTATTTAAAAATAACTTTGTTACACTTTTCCATATTACATGTAACCTCAAAAGGCAGATACTTTTACACCCTGTTGCACAGCCATATCTCATGCTCTAATTGGCAGAACTGAAATTTTGGCATCTCTATTTAAAAGCTTGCTTTTTTACTACAACATAGAAATTCGCAATTTGACGATCACTTGTGATAAAATTTAATTTATTATTTTATATATTAATATTTCAACTTAACTTTCAACTTCCGGGCCAACTTGAGGCATGAGTTAGATAATAAGAGAAAAAAATTTTTTTTTTAAATTCAGTTCATCATCTTTATTAATATATATACATACAATGGGCATATATAAAAATTAATTTTTTTAATAATTTATTTGTTAATTCATTTTCTTCAGGGTCCACTTTTCCTTTGATAATTTTCTTCTTATTAAGGAATGGCTTATTTCTTTGACAACATTTAAAGATGTTAGAGCTTTCTAAATCTCTATAAAAAACAACATGGGAAACATTCTGAAGCTAATTTGAATAAACAACCTATTAAAAATATATGTTTTTATTGATTAATTTATCTAATAATAGCTTGTCCATTGATCTTTGTGGTTGTTTGACCACAAGGGTCAAGAATATAAGTCTTGTCTATTATGGCTTTGAGTAGATACATAATCTAATAGATTATATGTCTACTTAGCCAGGTTATGTATCTACTAGGGCTAGACTATGTATTTACTATAACTAGAGTATGTATCTACTAGGTAGATATAACTATGACTATGATCCTGGTATGCGTGTGTTGGCACTCTTTCTTTGAGTGTGGTGTGATTCAATACTTTGGCCACATGTAAACTATCTTCAGGATAATGATGATTTTTTTGAATCAATCCTCATTGAAAAATCAAATTTATTTAAAAAATCCGGTAAAAGTTAGTGGAGAAACTGAAAATTTGTCGGAAAACAATATCGTGGTCAATTTTTGTCATCAGGCCACATGTGAACTATCATCAGGACAACAACGTGGCCAATTCTGAATTTTGGCTACATTTGAACTTTCATATATCTCATGCCAATTGTGAGGGCTATGCCCAAAAACTAGATGCAAAGCATCCTGGTTTGCAAATGCGCAATGGTGTATTGTTTCATAAATTAGACTATTTCATGGTCAAACTGTACATTGATCAAGTAGTCTAATAAATTACATTGAAAACATATAAATAGAACCTCTATTCCCCACTTTGAACCAAAAAATTGATTCATGAAAAAAAATAATACACATTTCATAAACAATACCACATTTCCTGATGATCAGCCAGTTTTTTGATTGCAAGGATGAGATACAAAGTGTTGAATTGGCAATCTGTATTTGGCCTTGCATGTCACATTTGAATGCCAGGTTTGAGGCACGAAGTGCCAAATTGTTATCTTCACTTGGTAGTACCCCAAAGCATAATTTCTATAATATATATATTTCTATAATAATTATACCACCATGAGTATACTATGTTTTGGGTCATTGGAAGCCTTTCTCACATAGTTGGTGCTTTGGGATATTACCTCTCCATGTATGCTTTGTCGTTTTACTATCGAAAAATTGGATCATACTTTGGTGTACTACCGATTCGAAAAATTGGATCATACTT